TCTTTATATTGCTTCATTTTGTCTCATTTTCAATTTTTGAAGATGCTTCTGCTCTAATACCATTCAATTTTTCGAGTAATACTTGCATAGATGTACATTTTCGTCTAAAACTAATCTTTGATCCAAATACTCTCTTAATTTTAGCTCTTCTCTTCTTTATTTTAGAATCAGTTGGCTTTTCTTGAAATTGTATCATACGCTTGTATCTCTTTGCACTCATATATATAATGCCCTCATTTGCATCATCTTTTTCTTCATAAATAGTTTCTAAGCTATTTAACTTTCTTTTTACACTTCTACTTGTATATATTTCCTTAATACCACGTGTTTCTACTTCTTCCATTTCCTTTCTATTATTATGGATTTTCTTCTCTGAACATGGCCTTTTTCTTGGTCTCAAACTACATCTGCAAATATTCTCTCATTAAGCACAGACAGTCAATATTAGATTAACAAAAATTATAGTATTATAAATATCACTGTATTATACCTCCTATTAAGGACTTCATTAGAAACATCTTTCATTGTGAGCATTTCTAAACTTGCCACTACTGCAGGTAAATTAGTCTCAGTTGTATTATTCATTTCCTTTCTATAAAACAATACATACTGATTTATACTGATGAAAAATAAATATATTTGTGGATTGTAATTAATTGTTCTTACATCAAGAAATTGTAATGTCGTTAATTAAATTAATACTTAAATATACAAATGTTCATAATACTAAGTTAGTACTAATTATTGACAAGAGGTAAAAACGTGAAAAGAACTTACATTGTTTCACTCCTTGTTTGAGTTTCCTCCATTTGTAGAATTGAAATATGGGTTCGTAATTTATTTGACGAAGTCAGTTACTTATAGCCGTAATCAACAATTTTCACATGCCCGTATTCATGTTTTCTACATTACTTAAAGCAGCACCATACTTTATTGTAAGTCAAAATATAACTTTCGAAGCTTTATTATAGTTTAAAATTCGTTTAAAAAATTATTGCTTACCGAAAGTCGGAGATCATATATCATATATATTGCGATATGACACTTTTTTCAATGTTATACTTATGTGATAAAGAAACCGTCGAAAATGAATGTATTTCAACAAAGGCAACTATAAACAACAAATCATTAGTACAACTTCACAAAATCATTGAGTACGTCGTACTAGTGATGGGCACTATCGATAATTTAAAGTATCGACTACCTAGGGAATAATCGCA